GTCGATTAGCAATGGATTATAAATATACTTAATTATGAAAATACCAGAGATGGCTTGAATAAGACGGATAAACTATATTGTCGCAGTCGAGTGTTTATTGTCTTTATTTTATCATTCAAGACTTTTATATGTTCTGTTTACTCAGTCACAGCTATAATAGCCATGCCTTTGTCCATATGAGGGATTTCCTGGAGGGTCACAGTTCTCTGGATGTGTGGATTCTCTGTGCGAGGGCGCCCTCTGGAGTCCAGCATGAGTGCTAATGGCCAATCCCTTATTTTATGGGGAATTTTTATTTATGTATTTTTTAATAAGTATCGGTTCAGGCACCGAAACTGTTTTAAAAGTATCGATTTGGCACCGGTATCAGAAAAATCCCCAAGTGATACCCAACCCTACATCCAGCCCAATAAACGTGATAAAAGATGAATTGATAAAACTGTTAAATGTGTTATAATTTGTAGGAACACAATTGGCCAGCTATTAATTTGATTATAATTCTATATTAAATCATAATACACAAATCAAAACAATCATAAAAAAAAAAAAAGGTGAAAGCCCTTTACATCAAACACGCCTGATTTTAATTTTTCGTCTGAGCCGCTGAGCGAACAGACATGCGTGTGGCGTGTGGTGACGCTGGGTGTCTGATATCTCCACACTCACGGGACGCTCAGCCAGCGATAAGCTCTATCTGAAGGGCGAGACTGACTTCAGCCGGCGGATACGTGACTCGATGTTCAGAGAGCAATCAGCGGAGCGCCACACTTCCTCCGAGCCACAGACTTCAGACTGAAGCAACTCCTCTCACCATCTCCTCACCAAACCTGCAGCACTTCCCTCACAGGAGGAGCAGGTGGAAACATCACATCATCATCATCCTCTGAGAGGGCAATGCTGGAAACATTTACACGCGTGGGTAAAAAATATCGATATCTCGATATTAATCGATTCTCATTTTTACGGAACGATATCGATTCCTAAATCCCAAGAATCGATTAGTCTAGCCTGTTTTCAGTTAATGGACGGAACATTGAAGGGCACTTCCCATCCAATATATCGCAATTCTGCTTTGCTACTTTTAATATGAAACAAAGTCTCCGATTTCAAATTCTATCCATTGTATTGCAGTATTCAAACAATAAATGCAGTTTTGGCGCTGTTTAATGTGGAGTGACAGATCGCTGTAGCGCCTCGGTTTAACAGAAGTGAACAGATCATCTCCTCCACATTAATACCAGCTTCAGCACAAAATAAACATGACTAAACATCCGAAGGCAAGTTAAAAGAAAGAGACAACTTTACAATCCGTATCCCGTCTCGTGTAATCTCTCGATCAGTGTTTCAGACGCGCAAAGACGCCAATATAACGGCTTGTAAACAATGTCACGTCACCTTCGGTCACCATAAACTCATTCATCATTATATGCACCATATAATATATTATCATTTTTACTGTTCTTCAATGTTTAATTTATGTTTGAATAAATCCATCAAGTTATGATGACAGCCACCATTTAAATGTTTATATAAAAAAAAAGTGAATTGAAGTAGAAATATTAATATGTAACTTTATTATTGTAAAAACTTGGTTGGTAATGGTGTACCAACTGACTCATGTATATTTTACAGCATTAGTTGATATACAGTGGGTACGGAAAGTATTCAGACCCCCTTAAATTTTTCACTCTTTGTTATATTGCAGCCATTTGCTAAAATCATTTAAGTTAATTTTTTTCCTCATTAAT